GGCTGAACCTCCATCCTTAAAAGGCGATGGGGACAGCCCGTCGGGGTCGGAAGCCTTATGCCGTTTGAGATAGTTTATTTCTCGGAAAGCCTATATTTCATATGGAGGAATGATGTCAACTGGCAGTATTTGCACAGTAGAAGCGGGGGTAGGGAACTTTTGCGTCGACGAGTGTCAACTGAACTGTACCTTAAAATGTTCTAATTAACGTTCAAGATGACGTTGCTGAATATGGATCAGTGTGCTGTCGGACTCCCTGATTATCTCACTTACACCTATTTATCTTGGACATGTACTTCTAATTAAACGAACAGATTGCGAATATTATCGATAGCCGCAGCGTTCCCTATTTATCTACACTTTCCTACCCACCACTTCTCGCGGTCATTCCTCAGACTCTTGATGAGCTGACGCTTAAGGGATTGAGACTCGAACTCGCACAACACATCCGATTTGTAAATGAAATTAATGCAACGGAAAGCGTTCGGGAGAGAAAATGTATTGAAACCGGCTTCAAACGAAAAAAAAACTGAAATCGAAAAGAAATATCCGTGGTCGTCGTTCGGTACGATAGGCAGTATCGCGAGCACGAAAAGCAACAAATCCTGGGAAACAGATTAATATGGTGCGTGAACAACAGACAAAATACATGAATAACTTCCCAAAATAAGTTACTGAAAGGCATGTGTAAGCCCAATCATACACTTCGCAACACCGATGGCATTGAAATTCATTGGGATCCCGAGTACTGAGTGACAGTTGATGATCTCATAGTTCTACCGGTTAGAGGCCAGCTCGTGACAGGGAAATTGGCCAAGGGCCACGTGCTGTGTTGGCTCATAAACCACCACCAGTAAAGTGATTCGACCTCGCGTAATCATCAGCAGGCACTCGTTGTGCACCTAAAGACCGTCTTCCTATTCTTATCCATCCGGCGGGCTATTATGGATGGAAGCGACATCAACGTAAGCTGGACGGTAATAACAGTAATCGACGAGGCAAGAGTCGTGATGTAACACTGGTGGCAATAATGCGAATAGAAAAGACGATGGAGAACGCAATCGTGAAAATAGACGCGCACACACATGTATATTGGAGAAAGGCGCATATATGTCAAAACTCTAACCCCAAGCTAGCGGTACAGGACAGGGTGTATGCGTGTGTGTGTGTGTAGGAACAGCAACAAGAATTCCCGAAGAACAAGTCACTAAACG